ACTTTTCAAAGCCAAGAACTATTTAGGCTGAAAATACTTTGCTGAGCTCTACTTCTGCCTCAAAAGAGAAGCCTGCAGCTGTTTCATTGGGAATTATCCATGGAGCACTGAGTCCTTCCTTTACCATGCCTAATCAGCCCCAAATTTGCCTTAATCCATTAGCTTTGTTTGCTCTGTTGTCTGTCTCTTCTTTATCTGGGGAAGGAATAAAGGTGACAGCCCAGAACCAAACAGTGGAGGACTGTCCTCTTCAATTGCTTGCAAAGCAACTCACAGGGTAGTTTTTCCCTCTAATCAAAGTCCTGTAATGCCCCTAAAACACAAGGAAAGAATTTTTTAAGATCTCCCTTGTGAAAGGAAAACTTTATAAACTTTATACAGGAACTGGTTTTATCATGTTCACTAATGGAAGCTCCTTTCAGGCTTTTTTTTTCTTTTTTTTTCTTCTTTTTTCTTTTTTTTCTTTTCTCTCAAGACAGTTAAGGAAAAGAAATACAGGCATAAATGCAACAATTTTACAAAATCCAACCCTGCTTGGCTGAGATGACAAACCACAATACTCAGATATGAACTACTGAAGGAGTCAGAGAGTGGCTTTCCACTAATTTGTTCATCAACATAAATAAATGATAAAAGAGGGAGATTAGCAAACAAGAGAAAATCAGTGGCAGCTTATGAACTGTTCACTAGTCCTAAAAGGAGTCAAATCTTTCAGGAATGAGGGCATATTTTATAGAAGCAAGTAGCTTATGTAAGACTCTCCTTTCAGTCCCGCAATTGCTTACGACTCAGAGCTTGCATTACAGATGAGTAAATATTTAGCCTTCATGGCCACAAAGGAGGGTTTGATGCTGAGAATGTTAAACCTTAAAGACCGGAAGGCAAATAAAAAATACCCTAGCATTTGTCCTTTTGAAACAAAACAAAGAAAGCCTAGCAGTTTTTAAGCTGGACTCAGTAGTATTCATTGTTTCTGCTGTTTGTAGTTTCTGCAGTTTCTCCTCAGGCCTGTCAGTTCAACCCCATACTTCAACCATAGGACTTCTAGAAAACCACAGGATGTGCCTACAGTTGCATGCACCTCTGCTTCTCTTCGGGGTGGATCACCACAAGGCATGCATGGGCTGGGTCCATGCACAGCCAGTCTCTCCAGTGGGAAGGAGCGGTGTCATCCCATTCCCAGCCTCTCATCACGTTTTCTGCAGCAGCACTTAGTGTAGGTTTAGTGACATTTCCAAGAGCTGAACTCAGGGTCACATCTAGGTCAAGACTGCTACTGAAGAGAGTCCTCATTTTGGCCTTCAAGCATCAAGCAGCCAAGCATCTCCAGAGTGACTGGTAAATGCAGATTTCCTTGGAAAAACCCAACTCTGTTAGGAGCAATGTGAGCATGTGGAAGAGATAGAAAGTGCGTTTTGCATAAGAATCTGTGTTACAGCTCCTGGATGGGAAAGTGCTTGTTTGGTCCTGGACTGGAGGCAAGTCAAGGCATCCAACAGGAGCTGAGCAGTAAGACTGAGCACCAAGAAGGCTAGGCTGTTTTGCACTATATGGGAAATGTTTTCCAAAAGAAAATTTTGTCAGGTTTGCATCAAAGTGGCTTCAGGAAAGCCTCAGGGAAGTGCTTGGAGGAATATATAAATCAGCAGTGGAGAGTTAATAATTTTTTTTCACTGGAGAGGAAAAGCCTAGCTCCTGCACACAGACCTTGGTGCACCATGGCTGTGTTGGCTGAGGCAGCACCCATCCTCTGTTGGGTGTGCCCTGCCAAAGCTCAGCTTTGGTCTGGGAGGACTGGTGAGTGGCTCGTGCGAGGGTCCACTTCCAACAGCAAAGCAGACACATTCCTGGAACCTTCCTACTGAGCCAAAGCAAGTTTTCACTGCTTTGTTGTGAAAACCCACCTCAGTTGTCTGAGTCCCCTCACTGTATTCAATGGGCACTTCATGTGATTTTATTTACCCATGAGTTTTAGGTAAAAAAATTCTTTTTGTTTGCCTTAGGTTGAAAAATGCATTTCATGTTCCTGCGTGCAATGGACTGGAAGCCTCAGTTCTTACACCAATATAAAATAATACCTAAGGATGTGAACAACTTTAAATCCTAACGCTGTAAAATCTGAGGAAGAAATAATAACAATAACAAAGGAACCAATAAATTAAAAGAGCTGCACTCCCAGAGTTCTCATGGCATCAGACAGATCAAAAATCAAGTTCACATGTCCCTTATTATTTAACAGGAATTCTTAAAATTCCCGCAGGATAAGTAATTTGAAACAACCCACAGAGCTATTTTGCTTGTTTCCTGGGGCAAATTTATGTCACAGTTTGGTAGTTACAATGTTATCAGCTGCCTTGGAAAAACAGCTCTGCTAATGTGACCATTACCTAATTCATGCCTGGAGTCTGATCCTTGGAGATTTCTAGGCCTTTTAGTGATCCCTTGAATGGCCTCTTTATAACTTTAAACACAGGGACATTCTGTCAGGAAAACAGGAAGGTGTATAAGAATAACCATTTTTGTTTGATGTCCCACCATCTGCACAACTGCAGACTTGTGTATAAACTTGTGTATAAACTTTTTCACCACTATACGTGAAAACAAAAATTACCCAAGACTCTCTGGGTGATGGGAGTGTGGAGGAGATGAAGGTAGCGGTGGAGTCTGATATCTGTGACTTCCAGAGGAGATGGAGGCAGAAAATACTTTTCCTTCTTTTCTGTTGTTTTCTTTTCCTGGTTTTATATCCCTTAGGAAGGACATAAGTGGAGGGCTTGCCCTGCTGAGGGCAGCCTGTGCTTTGGGTTTCTTTACACATCTCACTTTGTACACAGCCTTGGCACAAGCCTTTTCAATCTTTGGTGCCTCAGCTTCTCACTCTCCTGTAAAATGCTTACACATGGCCTTAGGGGCTGCAGACGGTGTCTTACTCTCAGCCGGGTCCCCTCTGCTGCCTGCTAGCATCCCACGGGAGTGCTGAGGCATAGCCGCAGTGAGTCAGGAGGAAGGTGGTGTCAGAGACCATCAAATCAGCCAAGTTTCCATCTGCTCTGTGTCTGCTCTGGCTGGTGGAGAGGACCCTGAAGTGGACTGGCTGTATTTCCTGCTTCCAAGGCTGCCCTTGGTACACAGAGCTGGTGCCCCTGGACTCCAGCAGGAGCTGGAAACATGCCTTTTCTGTGGTGTGTTATGTAGCAATGTCTTCAATGACAGGCACGTGACTTGTGCAGTAAATGTGACAAACTGAGCACTTTGCAACTTTAAAAACTGAAAAAAGCTTTGCCAGGTTTGTGGCTGTAGATGACAATCATGGCATCATTTGGAGCCCTGAAGGCCAAGTTGATGACTTCCCACTTCCCTCACAAACTATCTCTAAAAAAAATGTCCCTAGGAAAAATGTGGTTTTCCAATATGGAGAATTCTGTCTGTGGTATCTGAAGACTTCCATGACCAGGGACTCAGGTTTGCCATTTTGCAAGTTTCTCCCACAGTTTGCATTGTGTTTGGAGTTGATGGATGAATAAGTGAGATCTTATTGCTGTGGCCCTTGTCCTTCCTCTCCCCTTCTCCTCTTCTTTGTGTCTCCTTTTTGTTGCCATGTCTTAGTTCTGGCAGGAGTATGTCTGGGGCAGTGACCACAGCTATATGTGTTCCTGAAAATGCTAGCCTACTTGTCAAGATAGTGAAGTAATGCAATGAAAGAAGTAGGTGGAAATAAATACTATTTCTCGTTTGCTTACTTATGGCAAATAGAATAGATCAGACAGGGACATTTTACTGTGTGTATGTAAACTCAGCCTGTTTTCTGGTCATAGCTTGAAAGCAAATTGCTAACTGAGTTCAGGCTTTGTTTGAAATCTTTTAAACCTCCATGAGAAGCAAAATTGATACTTATAAAGGCAAAGACACAAAATCATTGCAGGATTTCTCTGTAGTTCCTGGAGGCACTGCACGAGTGTGCTTTGACTGCAGGCAGGCTGAACTGTCCTTTGGGGAGCACCCCTCACTCCATGAGCACTAGGCTTGGATGTCTACAGCAGGAGTGTTGGGCCAAGGGGGTGTTTTTACTTACCACTTGCAAAATTCCAGAGAAGCAATGCTAAGTCAGCTGAAACTTTAAATGAAAATTAAAACAAATCCCCTTTGGGATGAGATGGAAATGTCAGCCCAAGGATGAATCTGTTCTCAGTAAGTTGCAAGCTACTAAAGGAGACACAAGTTGGAATCCAGCCTTGGCTGCACCACACACCATCTGTCACCCTTGTAGAGTAAAATAAAGGAAGAGCAGAGAGCCTGCAATTATTCTCTCCCTCGTTGGATAGCCCAGAGGCCAGAGAAGTGGATTCTCTTCCCTTATACATTCCTTGTGATGGAAATGACGGATTCATTTTCCTGCGGTGGTGTTTCTGTGCATTGCTCTCTAATCCTACTCACTGTTCCCTTGGCAAGCAGGAGCACAGACTGCCAGGCTGGGACTTGAGTGAGAAGGCTCTCTTCCCAGGGTTAGAGATATAGACATAGCAAATTGCAGGAGAAGAACATGAGAGAAGAGGGGATGCTGAAGTCTCTCTACTAGGCACACTGCTAGCAAAATGCAGGAACTTGCCCTTACAGACACCTGAGCACTGCTAGTACTGAGCACTTTTTGCCAGGCAAAATCTCTTCTCTCTCTCCTTCTACCCCATGCCCTTGCACATTTTCGTAACCTCACAAAAGTTTCAGACCATGTCATCTTTAACCTACTGCAGGCAGGACTTGGGAGCCACGTGAGGAGCAGCGAGGAGAGACCACAGCTGGTCAGAACACCAGCCCCATGGCCAATGAATGGGGGACTTGGACTACACTCCCCTACACACCACCCCAAACAGGGTGCTGGAATGTCTCTCCCTTGGCATTGCATTTTGAAAGATGTGTCTGGCAAGACAGCTAGCTGACTTTGGCAGGCACTGCAATTAGTGTGATAATTAATTAAAGAGCAGTTGAGAAAATCACAGCACGAGGTTGCATCACAACCAGATCCACAACTCACTACCAGAGCAAGGCATGCTTCCATATCTCTATTTTTTTTTAAAGGAATTAGTAGCTTTCATAGTGCACTGGAGTGGGATGAAGAGGAATGAATCCTTGTGCTAATCAGTAAGAGGACCTTGTCTGTAAGATAAGACAATCTGGGAACAGAACAGCAAGTGATATCACAGCAATAGAATGGAAAAATACAGCAAGACATAACAGCTAAAGACTGTTTTACACAAGCCTCCTCTTGTTTCCTATGACACCAAAGACTGGAAGAACCTCTCTGCAGAACAGAAAAGTTATCAGGAGGAACAGGTGTCCTGTCTACTGCAGTCAGAGCTGCAGCTGCTGCATAGCTCCCAGTATTTCCATGCCTTCAGCTGGGCTCTTCCACATACTGACAGGTGCTAGTGAAGGCACACATACTATGTTCCTAAGCAGACACCCAGGTTGTTCCTGCTGCCACCTTTCCCATCTGCCCATTTAGGGAGATTCAGGATAACCACCACACACAGGCTTTGGTGCAGCTGTAGCTCTCACCTGCCTGCACTCCTGCCTGTCACTGGGCTGTCCCTCCCCTTCTGAAAGGTACCAGTGGTCCTCGCTCACTGCCAGTGGGGAAAAGCGCCCGATAGTGAGCCGCACAAAGGGCCTGCTGATGAGCGCAGGTGGGACAGGCTCAATAGTCACCCTCAGGCACCTGGGTGTCCTGATGTAGTGTTGCTCCTCACTTGAAGCAAAGAGGCTTAGGATAAGAGGACTTGCTGCATGTAAAGTAACTGTAGCCCAGTTAGTGGTTATTGAAACAAGAAGGGAAGAGGAATTTTTTTATTCTCAAACTGGAGAGAAAATGGCTGATTTTCAGAAAAAAACACATTTGAAAAAATACATTTCACTGATATCTTTGAACAAAATAGAAGTAGGATAAAAGGATCATTTTTTGTTTGTTTCTTTGAATTCATTAGTACAGAAATAATCTGGAAGTTTATGCTGAGGTTTTGGCTTTATTTTCACTATTTTTCTTCTGGGTGGGGAAAGAAAAAATTCAAATATTTACAGAAAGAAAAAAAAGAGAAGTCTTCTTACTCGTATTTCCTAGTCAGAAGGAGACCAGAATGTTTTCTGCTTGTTTCTAAGCAGATACTTTTGTTGGAAGACTTCTCACCCTCAGTTATAAAATCTTTTATGTTAAAGCAGTACAAAAACATTCAGTGTCACATTGTGTCAGCCCCCTTCCCTTCTCCTTGTGCTTCAAGCTGTCTTTGGAGCATTGTTGTGGAAATGAAATTTTCTGGTTGTTCTCTCCTTGCTGGGTGAGGCCAGTGGGTTTGCTGGGGTTTTAGCACAGCTGCACCGCAATGCTGCCCACATTGTGTTGGAGACACTTCTGGGCTTGTCTCTGCCTTAACCTTCTACATGGTCTGTGGGTGCAAGCACCAATCTGATTATGCAACTTCTCTCTTCACTGTCCAGGCTTTCCCCAGTCCTTATTAGAAGCAGTGTATTTCAGCTCTCACTATAGTACCTTCTACCCACTTTGGAGTCCATGAACACTATAAATCAGGCTCTGTGTTACAGACGGAGCCTTGCTTTCCCCTCTGGGATTATGTATTTCACAGAGGAAGAGGAACTCAAGTCCAGTTAATGATTGCACTGAAGCACCTTGAGTTGATGCCATGAAGCTTCTTTTCCATCTAATCATGATTATCTGCAAGGGAAAAAGGTTATTAAATGTTGGAAAATGTGCTGTGTCCCATCTATTTCAGATTATTTTACATCTGCATTTACAACAGACATAGGCAATTTTGTTCAAGATCCAAGAAACTAGAATTGTCCTCTTCCCCATCTTTCATGACTTGAAAGGGCTTTCCTAGCATTTTGTTTTTAATATTTCCTTTTTTTTTTTTTTTTTTTTATTTGTTCGACACTTTGCATAGCCCTTTCTTAAATATGTACCTATGTCTTAAAGTGAGGCATGGCCATGAAGAAAAAATTATGCAAACAAGCCTTTTCAGTGTAACAAATTAGATTTCATTCTGTGTAAATCTGTTGCCTGTCCTTGCTATTGATGGGTTTCACAAACTATATGGGGAGTTAACCGTTAGTCTGAGTCTGATTACAGCCCATGGATTTACAGACAGAGCCAGCAATCTCAGCAATCTGTCCAGGGCTGGTGTGTCAAGCATTGCCACTGCTCCTTTCTACCTGATCCTATAAGCGGTTAAAATGACACTACGTATTTTCCCACAAAATTAATGTAATATGTAATATTGTAAGCTTTTTTTTCCTTTTCTTTTTTTTCCCCCCCTGCAGTAGGCATGAATGTAGTTGTACAAATTAGAAGACTTCATACACGGTTTTGCTCTGATGGGAAGGTAGCATCACCTGTGATTAGGATGACCTGACAGTCTTCCTAACAGCAACCTGCCTCAAAGTGTTTGTTCTTTTAGTTTGCCTTATGCTGCCATCAGGGAATGAAATTTTCTAGGAAGGATGTCTGACCTGAGATAGAGTCAGGGTAATTTCTGGAGGAAATTGTGCTATGGAGTTTCAACCAAATTAGATCAAGAGAAATGCATTGTTTAGTCCACACTTGGGGAAAAGAAAGACATGAAAAAGTTCTTGCTATTGTTTTGACAAGAGGGTCTCAAACACTGTCAGAGGATATGCTCAGTACATAGCAAGCTGCAGCACAAATCACATTTTTCCCTTCTCACATCACCACCATCCTCTGGGGAGGAAGGCTGGTCTCTCCTGCCTCTTCATCTCCAATCCCCTGTTTGGACTCCCAGCCTCTGTCCCTGCCTCACAACTGTGTTAGCCCCCTCCTCTTCCTGCCACTCAGTTGTCTCAAAAAGTCTCAGCATGAACAGTTTGTACCTTCGCTAAATTCTTCTGATGCCTTCTGGCTATAAATAGGGATTGCTGATGGAGGAAACTCTAGTGTCTTGAGGGAAAATGTACTCTCACTTATAGATCTTACTGGTCTTTTAGTGGAACCTAAAGTTGGAAAGGTGACCCAGTACTACTTCTACACTTCAGCAACCTCTTATTGAACAATCTCACTAATATAACCAGACATGTTTTAGTCTCCTAAAGTGTCTGGTATGAGAAAGATCTGTTACCCTTAAAGTGAATCCCATTTGCTTCACATTGCAAAACCCAGGGAGTCCTCATTCCCTGTGTAATAAGCTTCTTTATGAAGCTGCGCCTTTGGCAATAAACTGCACAATGAAATGAAAACCGGTATTGTTATTAAATTAATGTCCTTACATAACTGATCTTTCACCCAGTGGCTGCCAACACAGATCTCAGCGCAAACCACATTTCTGAGAGGAGCGCAGAGAGAGGTGAAGAGCTCAAGGAAGCAATTTTTTATTTCTCAAGAGAACAGATGCAATCTCCAGCGAATTAATTTTTTTCTCCAAACTTGTATCCCCTCGAGTGCTGGCAAAACAAGGTCTTGGCAAAGATTTTTCAAGGCAACAGCAGAAGGTCCCTTGCAAGCACTGCACAGAAAATGTAGTTAGCTGCCGCTTACTGGTGCAAAAGCAGGAATGGGAAGGAAGACTCCTCCGGAGGCATAGCAGAGCTAGGTCGCCACAGGCAGGAAGGACCTCGGGGGTGAAACGGGGGCCGCGTCCTGGCTGCGGGGACAGGGCTGGCCAGAGGGCTCTGGGAAGGCGGTGGGAGCCAGGCCCAGGGAGGGCTCGGAGCCAAGGGAGCGCACCGTGCCAGGCCGGGCCGGGCCCGTGCCGCTCCATCCCGTCCCATTGCGCCCCGCTCCATCCCGCGCCCTGTGGGGCCCGGGCCCGAACCCGCCCCGCCCGGCCCCGCCCCGTCCCTCGGCGCCCGCCCAATGGGCGCGCAGGGTCGTTTGCATGTTTGCATATTTATTTACATATTTGCATATTGCCCAGGACATAAGGGCGGGCGGGCGCGGCGTCGCTGGTGCTGGGCGCTCCGCGGGCTGCCCTGTCCTTCGCTGCGCTTCGGCGCCGCACTTCTGTTTTAGTTATCGTAAGTTTTCAGAGAAAAAAAAAAAAAAACTTACTTACTTTTTAATTTTTAATTTTTTTTTTTCTTTTCGCGCCGAAACTTTCGTGCCCGCGGAGGAGGCGAGATGTGGAGGAAGGCGCTGCTGGCCGCCGTGTGCCTCTGCCTGCGCTGGGGCGCTGCTCTCGGCGGTGAGTCCGGGACGCGGGACTGCCGGGCCCGCCTGTTGCTCCTGGGAAACGGGGCTTGGGGGAAGCGTGGCGGGAAAGGGGAGTTTGCAATCTTTCCTTTGTGAAGCTGTCCCGGGGAGCTTGGGATGCTGCGGGACCCGGGTGTCGCGGAGTGGGCTTGGAAGGCGCTGGAAAGCGACACCGGGGGGGAACCTCCATCCTGTTAGGAGAGACCTGGAGCCTGTTCTCCAGCCGAAACTCAGGCACAACCTGCTGGGCTGGTGGCGCGACCTGTTGAGGTTTGGGATGTGTTTTTTTTCCCAGAGACAAGGTGGCTTCCGAGAGTTCCTTGCCCCAGCAAGGGATTTGCACAGCAGTAGCACCACGGTAAGGTCCCTCGGCTTCCTCTTCTGTGGGGCTCATCTGTCCCAGCATCCCAGCTTCGTACAGTTCTTGATCCCAGACAAGGCAAGGCTGAGTTTCATCGCTGTCGTGGTAATGTGTTCGAGATGTAGTTAAGCCTATAATGAGCAGGATCCACTAGGGGAAAAGTGAACAGAGTGATTTACTCCCGTTCGCTTACGGCTGTGTCCGCACTCTGCCTGTTGTACCTGCACTCGTGCGTAGACATCCTGCCCAAGCTATGGGAAGTGGAAGATGTGCAAATGGTGCTAGATTTTTACTAATGCTCTCTCAATTAATCACAATGTAACTGAAGCTGTTATGAACAAATTGACTAGCTTTAGGAGACCACTACTACTCAAACTTTAAAAAAGCTTTAAAATATTGTTAGCAGTGTCCTGTCACAGGCTTACTTCTTTACACTGATCTCCCACACATAGTATCTGTCTTTAAAAGTTTCTGGCCTTAGAAGAAAGGGTGGCTGTAGCTCCTAGAGCTGCTTTGTGATCCTAAGCTGGAATATATAAACTTCTGTTTTTTCTGCTGTGCGTCCCTTTGTTACTTCTTTGTGTATAGGGAAGCTGAAGGGAACTATTCAAAAGTAAGTGGATGGGGTGCTAGGGTACAGTGAAAGGAATGTATTCTAGCTTTGAATCCAATCTTGTGCCATCAGAGACAATCAAAACCAATTTTCATCACAGTATCCAAGTTCTATACAGTAAAATAACTGTCTTCTCAGAGAAAGCTTTCATCCCTGCAGGAACTGATTTGACACAGACTTACCAATAATTTCATTATTTCTTCTTAGAAAAAGGTTGTATGAAAGCAGGTTGTGTGCTCATCCTAAAGCAATTCAAGCCTTTAGTTCCACACTTTTCCATGCACAACACAGTAAAAAGTTTTTTGAAACCACAGCAAATACGTGATCGAGCCCTCCAAGAATCCAGAGTATTTAAAAAACAACATAGAAAAGGACTTTCTAGGTGAAAAAGATGCTGGTCCTGGAAAAGATAAAAGCATTGCTAGAAATACATTCAGATCCTTATTTACCAGTGTAAATCCAGAGTCAGCATATTTACCTGTTCTGTGATGTGAGCTGCTGGCTTTTTCTATGGTTTGTGTTTGGGATAGACATACCAGGGCAGCTGTAGCATGGCCTTTTGAGAAAAAATGCATTTCTGACAGGGCACAGAGGTGAGGCTCTCAGGCCTCAAGTTGTGCTGGAGATTAGCATGATCACTAGCGCTCCTAAAAGTTTGCTGGAATCTCCTCTGTGCAGAAGTACTTGCATGGTAGGAGTTTCTCATGCATCCTTACCTCTGTATTACTGCAAAGTCTGACAGTGGTTGTATTTTTTCTTCAGCTAATTGCAGCTATTCCAGAGGGACTCATGGGTGGCTAGATATCTGCGGGATTGAATTGCAAGTGTCCCAGCTGCAGCTGAGTAAAGATTTGTGAGGGAGTACCGCGGAGAGGGGTGGGCATCCCTGTGCACAGTGGGAGAACAGCAGTTTGCCAGCTGCAAAACTTGAGCTGGGAGGTTCTTACTTAGCTTCTGAACTTGTGCCCAGTAGCTTTCCAAAGGTATTGCTCTTTCCACTGGCCCCACCTGCGAAGTGAAGCAGAACGTACTCTCAGGGCTCTGCCATTGAGGAATACATAAATAAACATGAAGTTGTAATATTTTTGCAGCAAGGTTAAACAATAACTTGACTCGTGAGGTAGGTTTCCTGGGATTGCAACACACAGTAGTATGCTTTCTGTTTATAGTGTAGATCAAATTAAACGATAACCGTTTCTGTGATATAGGCCTTTTGCTACAGCTGGCTGTGAGTTTGCTTCAGAACTCTTAGGAATTCAGTATGACTGATTGATGGGTGTTCCTAATGCTGATTGTTGGCTGATGGAAGATTTAGCCCAGTTAACTACAGCTGGTAAATGTTTGATATGTGCAGATGTTTGCTGTTGTGCATGTGTGTGCATGCGTGTCTCTGTGGGCCATAGAACACACAGTCTAGCAGTATACTTTCTAAGGATCTTTGCACCTAGCTAATGCTATTTCCATTTCTGAGTGCATAATGCTAGGAAATTGTTGTTTATCAAAGATTCCATTTTTAAAACCACAGCTTAGGTGTACTCATTCTGGCAAATGCATTGTTATAATATTTTGGCAATCTCTGTGATGTGGGCAGTTTAACTTTTGATTAATATTCCAGATGTTGTTACTTCCTCAAGGCTCACATTCGCCACCCAGCTGACCAGTAGCAAACAGTTTCACAGTCAAGGCAAGTTGTCCTGGGCTTCCTGTGAAAGAAACTTGAGGCTGAATCCTCTTGATTGGTTTGTCAGAATGCCTAAAGTCAGTGGGATGCTTTCAAAATTGATAATTGACAGGAGTCCCTAACTGAACGGAATTTCACAAGTTGCAAGTCCAAAGTGTCACAAATTTTGGACAGGAAAAACAAAACTACTGACTTCCAGTTTGTAAGCTTCCCCCCCACTTTCTTTGAGTTCTGTGAGGTTTTATACCTTGCTGCACAGGACAGCTTTTTATTTCTTTTTAAAAATGGAAATTCATATTGTGCAAGTAGGGATGTAAGAAAACCATCAGAAAACTTTGTATAGCGTGACAAAATGGTGAAGTTTTGGTGATGCAGCCTGAAACGCCAGCTTCCATCTGGAATTGGTAATTTAATTCTGCTTCACTTCCCTAAATAATCCCTTTGTAGGTCATGCTAACTGTGAGCACATAGCATAGACAGAAAACTTTATTTTGCAACAGGTGCTTGTGTTTGCAACTATGTGCCTGGAAGCTTTGGCAATACACAACACATGCCTTTGTACCTTTGCTGAACTATAGCTGGGAAAGTGTAGTTTTCAGTAAAAGTATGGATTTCTTTTTTGTCTGCATGTGTTTACTTCCAGTCTGTTTTATTCAAAAGCCTTGTTTAGAAATGGGACTTGCATTCTTGTCATAAAAACCTACTTCAGTATCTCAATATCCGTATGTATATTTCTTGATACCTAATTTCTGTATCTACATTATGAAAAATGCAATCTTAATTCAGATAAGTTTCTGTCCACCTTTCAGAAACATGCTGAGAACTACCTATATTGGGGTTTTCCATGGTTTAAATAACTTGAGTTAAAACATCTTATTAACTAAACTATGGTGAGTGTTTACATTGGCTGTCTTTGCAGTTCTTTGTGTAAGACTGTAGGAATGAGGCCCAGTGGTTCACTGGCTCAGGACATGATTCAAGGAGATATCTCCCTTTAAATCTCTAAGGAAAAGGTCTGTGGCAAAAGTCTATGAACGACAAAGTTTGGTTCTGAATAATTTGTTTAATAGACCAAGAAATACAATGAGGTATGAAAGCAGAAGTGGGAAATGCTTGTTTTCTGAAGTGATCTGCTGAACTTCTCTGCTTCAGGTTTAAGGCATGGTACATGTAGGTGTTGATCTGTGTGGTGAGTGTGTACAGACTGTGTGTTCCTGTACTCTCCAGGAGCTGGGATGTGAGGTGGTACTGCAGCTTGTGTGCAGCACAACATTAGGTGTAGACAAGATATCTTCTGCTCAGAGCTGGGGGTTTCCATGGTTTAATTAAATTAAGTTAAAACATCCTATTAACTAAACTATGGTGAGTGTGTGCTCAGAGCTATATAGAATTTGCAAAGCCAAACTCAGGTAAATTCTGAGGAAATCTTCTTGATGGGCCCACCGTGAAGAAGTCTGTAATAAACTCCACTACACACACACTACCCTCATACAAAGGGTATCTTCCTGCTGGGAACTGACCATATGTGGACATAAGATAACATGACGCTTTTTGTGGGTATAAGATGATAACAGTAATTTCTTCTGACTTTCTAATCCTCATACAACATAGTTAAATGAGAAAAATGGCTGCCTGCCATTTCCCTAACTCATGGGCTGTTGCTTTGCAGCTGCTTCTTTCTTGGTGCTGACTGTATCTCAGTGATTTTCTGTTCTCAAATCCCCATCAAAGATTGTTAGATTGAAACACGCAAATACGTGTGAAGCACTTAACACATCTTCAGTGGCAGGTGCCACTGTACTGCAATCTTTCTAGGCTTTGTGCACTTTTCCAAGTGTACCCTTAAGTATGGTACACTTTGAATTGTAAATTTCCTATGAGCTTCTTTTCAAAAGAGCTGTGGTCTGAACTTACATGCAAATTCTAGCATGTGTTTGTAATTGAAAACACACTACAAGACAGGATATCAACGTAATTTAGATTTTGGATGATTATCAGATAAGTTTAATCCAGAAGGGAAATGATATCTAGGTATGAAAGGAAGCACTATTAACTAGTCAGCAGGTGGACTATTCTTTTTTGCCTTCCTTTACTAGGAGGGAATATACATAATTGAAAGTCCTGGCATTGTATGCCTTACAATTGAAAGCTGTTCTTGTTCCTTTCAAGGTTTTAGTGATTCACAGCCAAGTGAAAAGTTATAGCTGATATTTAACCAACCTGCCTTTGGGACTTTTCTTTCTCTGGCTAAAAAGTAAATAATGCAGGTCTAAAGATTTTTTCCAAAAAAGTGTTTTATACTGTCAGTTGGTGATAAAGTTTTGAATATGCAGAAATAGAGAAAAAATGCAGACATTTGGTTAGTTTGGTAAATTTAGCTTTCATTTGTGGGTAAAATGTTATATTTACCATTATCTGGATGCTTGTACTGGTAGAAGGACGGGTAAGGTCTATGAAAAACACCTTTCTTTAGGAGGAAGGAGGCAGGAAGGGGGCCCTCAGGGTAATTATCCTGGATTAGCTAGCCAGCCTAGCACAGTCAAGGTTGAAACCTAAAGCTGAGTACTGCCTCTGTTCAGTGAATGGTTCTTGCTTTCCTGCATGTGCTTTGACAGGTGAGAAATCCTGCTGAACTTGGGCAGTTTTAAGCCATTGATTATGGCTGACAAGTTTCTCTGAGACTGCTATGTAAGCATTTGTTGCAAGGCTCTGTGCTGGTTTTAGATGTGATGAGGGAGGTTAGACCCTGATTTCTTGTGATCCTCCAAGCACAGCAAGAACTTCCCAGGCTTTTTAGAGCTCCCTGAGGTGAGTTAGTCAGTGCTGTGTTATGTATGGCAGCTGGAGTGAGAAGACCAGAAAAACTGTTTTGGAAAAAAATGAATTGTTAGTTATTTATCACCTGAGCAATGCAGCACAACTTCAGGCAGGAAATGCAAATCTGCCAATTATCATAGAAAACCTCTTCTGCAGTGGGAAAAGGGAGTGGAAATCTGTTTTGCATGCCTAGCATGAGGTCCTTATCTTGTCCATTTGTGTTCCCTATGGTGGCATGGAGCCATTCATTAATGTGTGTTTAGGAGTTTGTGGAAGGTTGGTGTTATTGATGCCAGGAAAGACAATGCTGAGTAGGACAGAGCTGTCCTAACTTTAGCTGCACTTGAAAAACAGGCAATCAATATTTGCCTTACTCAAGCTGCCAAACTGGGGCCTGGGTTTTGAAAAGTTAATTACAGGGTGTGCTGTATAGAGGCATTTAGGAGTTGAATCAGACATAAAAAGAGGAGACATTTAAGTTTCTTCCCAGAAGAAATGGTGAATATGAAGTCTAAAGTCACTTGGCAGGAAAAGGAGTACTTAAATTTTGAAGCTGGAAGTTGGTGGGCGTGGTCTTTGCAGACTACAGCATACTTTGTTACCTCCAGTACAAGATCGGCACCTCCTTCCCCACCCTCCTTCCCTCTGCTTCAGGCAGAGGAAGATATTTTTCGGCAGCTTATTTTTCTGTGGGTTATCAGATGACCTGAAAATGTACTCCAAAATAGACTTCTGGTTTGCAAGCTCAGTTTCTCTGATGGGTGTCTGATCTCCTCACCTGCTGCTTGTTGGTCAAAACTTAAAACTAGTATTCTGTAAAACAGTGGTGACTTCACAGCTTTTAATGCACTGCAACTACACAGAGTTATAAAAGGCCTTGTTAAGCAGTGATTATTGGTGAGGTGATGTGGAAGATACACCACCAAAATATGTAATAGTATGGTAGTAACTCTCTGCTCTCCTGGATGACTGTCTGTGACTGTTGTGCACACTTTTCTGTACTCTTGTGATACTTAAGAGGTTTCCTGCTTAATGTAATGGGAAAAATACTGGCTCTCAAAATGTGTTCATACCTCTCTGACAGCTCAGCAGATTCTTACTGTTTTATCAGGACCTTGGAAGGGGAGCAATTTTCACCCTTTGATTTCCTCTTTACACAGCTGTTGTGTGTCCACTGAGTGCTGTAGGAAATGAAAAACACCCGTCCCAGATATCTCCTGACTGTTCCACATATCTCTCCAACATCGCACCTGTGCCTTCTGACTTTGTCCTAGTACTCCTAAAACACTGCTATGTTTTTTGTGCTCTTATAGAAGAAGGCGAAAACAATTTTGAGGGAATCGAGAGCAAGTTTTCCTTACGGACGCCTGCAGAGCCCGATGAGGATGTCTGCTACCTGGTTCCTGGGCAGGTGAACAGCCTGGCACAGTGCAACTTCAACCATACCAGTAAAACCTTTGTGGTGATCCACGGGTGGACGGTAAGACAAAGTGGGAGGAATCCCCCTTTTATCCCCACACGTAAGATAAGCTGAGCAGAAGCGTCTCACAGAAATATTAATATATCTCTCCTATTTTAATTAAAATCACCAAAACCAAACAGGTGACAGGGATGTATGAAAGTTGGGTCCCAAAGCTGGTGGATGCTCTGTACAAGAGGGAGCCTGACTCAAACGTCATTGTGGTGGACTGGCTAGACCGAGCTCAGCAGCACTACCCGGTGTCAGCTGCCTACACCAGGCTGGTGGGAAAGGATGTTGCTATGTTTATTGACTGGATGGAGGTAAGACATGGAGGCATGTCTCATATTCTATGTAATGTCACAGAAGACAAAACAGCAATGATGCAGCTATGTCAATCATCTCGTGTTGGGTAGATGGAGTTAAACTCTTGCAGAGAGAAGTTTTGCTGGACTGGTAAAATCCCAGCTTTGGTCTACTGGCTGTCTCCTACTCAGAGGCCTTTTGCACTGCATTCCTGAGACTTCACCTTGTGGTCTGTGGGGTCCTGTGCACCCAGAGTATTTCTGAGGACTCTGTGAGAGGTAGCTATGAAAGACAGGTTCCTATATATATTATACAGAAGCCAGTCCTTGGGAATTGCAAATGTGCCCTGCCTTAGGAGATTCAGAAACTGGTGGGAAGAGGGTGGCTGAAAACCTTTATGAAATAAACAGCCCTGTGTCCTGTCCTTTATTTTGCATTCCTCTCAGTTTTGATTTTGGCCATAAGTAGGTTAGATCAAGAAATTTACAATGGCACAAAATAATGATAACTGTTTAGTGTTTCTTCTGTTATTCATGGCTCCAACAAAAATTCCAGTGTTATCAAAACATTTTATTTTGTGTCTTATGTTTTTTTGTGTTTGGTTTCGAACTTTAAACAAATTGTTCTCTTCTGCAGGAGCAATTTAATTATCCTCTCAACAATCTCCACTTGCTGGGGTACAGTCTAGGTGCCCATGCTGCTGGGATTGCTGGGAATCTGACCAAAAAGAAGGTGAACAGAATTACTGGTAAGAACACCTGTTACTGTAGAGTGGAGAGTTGCATCTCTTCCATACTGAAATATTATGTTCTACTGAAAAATCACCAGAATAATTGTTGCTTGCTGGCAGTACTTTAGTTATGTATTTATTATTTAATGAAACAGCAGGGCCCAATATTTCTGGGGTAGAACTGGAAAAATATTCAGAAAATAACAACAAGGGTGGTGAGTGAAAAGCCTTTATTTGCTTTTTTACAAGAAATGAGTGAGTAGGCCCTGACAAAGAAGCAGTCTGGGGGGTTGTGGTGGGGACTGACCAAACCATGGCTTGGCAAAGGTCACAGTATCTCTTGCAGCATAAGAAATTCAGTGGATTGTCTTTATCCAGCCAGTCATTCCTTGCAGCTGATGGGAGCCCTTGAGACAGAACAGGAAGTAAATTCTGCTGCAGCAAGTTTAGTACCTGCAGAACTCTTTGCCGTGGAGTGATGTAGATGAAAGAAGTTTGTATGGGCTCAAAGGGAGACTGGACAGATAACCAGAAGAGATCCAATGTGGATTATTACAAAGTTTATCATAACAGTCTCAAGAAATATTCTAGTCTGGAAATAATACTGTGAGAATTTGGGGAAGACATGTATTTTCCCTGTTGCTATGTCTGCTTAAGGTGAATTTTGGAGCCTGAGAAATCTGCTAGGCAAGGCAGAGTGTGTGGCCACTCTGGGGCTGGTTTACAAACCAGCACCTGGGAGCTGAGCCACTAGCACTGATCTCATTGACAAAGGAATTGCCTTCATCAGCAAATGAAGATAAGAAAATTGCTCATCTGTGGTGTCTTTGCTGCTGAGAGAGCTTGGGAGGACCATTCAGAAGGGAGCCTAGCTCCTGGCACTTTCACCTGAGCCTGGCTGTGATCCCAGATCCACAGGCATGCTGGGAGGTGGGCTAGGCAGCAGTCACATCTGGAAAGGTCAAGTCCTGAGAGGTGGCAGATTAAAGTCAGGAGGCCAACGTGCTAGTCCCTTCCTTTCTCTAAGTTGCAGCTTTGCTGCTTTCACTGAGTCTGCCAAATCACTGACATGTCAGTAGCCCTCTGTTATTCCTCCATGGTTGCTCTTGGTGCTGAGGATGAACTGTTCCCTGGGAAAAGCACAGGGAACAATGTAATGTGGCCCCTGAAGCCCTCACAGCTGAGGGGGAGGCAGCTCAGACCGCGTGGAGCTAACAGTGGGTGAGCAGCACAGGTGCCTGTCCCCAGCTGAGGGCTGCAGAAAGGATGTGTCCCCTCAGCCAGCTCTCAGGGGTTGTCTGAACAGCAGATAGTACTTGTTCACTGGCAGAGTAGCTCTGGGCTTTTTTGATGTTAGTGTTGCTGCAGCTTGACAGTTTACCCTAGTAATCCCCTTCCCCTTAGGTGTGTAGACAGTGAAGCCCTCACTCATGTTTCCCACTTTTCCTCTGGCATGGAGTTGTCAGCAAGACTTTTCCCTACTTCAGATACAACTTCTACAGTTCTTGACAAGAAAGAAAGACATTGAGAAAATACTTAAGAGCTTGTTTCTCCCATCCACTGGAAATGCTAAAGCTCTGAGGAAGTTAGCTGGGCTTCCTTCCATGTGTTAGCATACACTTTTATTTTTTTAAACACTGACAATTTCCAAGGTAGTGCATTTGATTCTCCAGTATACATTCATGATATTTAAGTGGTGATCCATCTCTAATGTCTGCATAAAATCTCAGTATTTTAGACCAATGTGGCAGCTGAGTTTGGCATTTGTTGTCAATGTCAGTATCTTTGGCAGATAATAATATCAGTTTTTCTTTGTGGTTGGCCCCATAAAGGGCTGGATCCTGCCGGTCCTACCTTTGAGTATGCTGATGAACTCACTCGCCTCTCCCCGGATGATGCTGAGTTTGTGGATGTCCTACACACCTACACCCGAGGCTCTCCAGACCGCAGCATTGGGATCCAGAAGCCTGTTGGACACATTGATATTTACCCCAACGGTGGAGGTTTCCAGCCGGGCTGCAACTTGGGAGAAGCACTGCGTCTGATTGCTGAGAAAGGGCTTGGAGGTGAGGTTGCTCTGAAACAAACAGTATAACATTCTGAGGGAAACCTGAATAGCCCTGCAAGGTGTCTTGCAAGGAAAGAGCTCTGAGAGGTGCAGGAATATGTTCTTTCAAATGCTTTTAAAAGTCATGCTCTAAAGCTCATTTCTGCCATAGTGGATCATGCCTGTTGACAGCATTGCTTAGGGATTAATATCATTATATGCACATGTGTATACATATTACACATTTTCATTCTTTCAAGATGTGGATCAGCTGGTGAAATGCTCCCATGAACGATCCATTCATCTCTTCATCGACTCTCTCCTCAATGAAGAAAAGCCAAGCATGGCCTACCGCTGCAACACAAAGGAGGCCTTTGAGAAGGGCCTCTGCCTGAGCTGCCGCAAGAACCGCTGCAACAATTTGGGTTACAAGGTCAACAGAGTGAGAACAAAGAGAAACACTAAAATGTATCTGAAAACCCGTGCTCAGATGCCCTATAAAGGTAGGTACTCCTTGCTTACTGGTGAGCAAGACTGGTACTAGTGCTCAGCTGTGTGTCATGATGGGCATGTGCTGCTGATGAGGATATTGCTGCTTTGGTGCCTGTGGTGAGCAGGGGTGAAGCTGGCCTGTGGTTTGCCATTGAATCCAAGTCTCAGAGAAAAGTGTTGTCCTACTCGAGGTGTAGGGTAGAGTGCAAAAAGAAAGGTATTTTGTAACAAGTTTCTAAGTAGCAAAAGTTAGACAACTCCTGCTGCCCAATCCAAAACTTGGAACTTTTTCAGTGTTTTTCATCTGAATGATTACTTCTTTCTGCTGGGGAAATAATCAACAGAACTCAGTCTGCTGAGCATCTTAATTAAAGATATGGGAGCATCAGATTTATGCCTTTGGTAGTGCACTTGCTAGAGGAGCACCAGCCCTCATTAAAGCATCACAGCACTTCTTGATTCTAATTGCTGCTGTGGGAGGTCTGAGAATGACAAAGCCCAAGAAAACTGGGAGGAGAATATTTTCCTTACAGCTAGGAAAATAATGTTGGATTTTACTACTTTATTTTCCTCCTTAGCTTTGCCTGTAGGCCATGGTATTCTTATAGTGTGCATTGTGTGATGGGCCAGCAATCAAAAAGGCTCATTCCCGACCTGCAGTGTCAGTGGGTTGTTTTTGGTTTTTGTTTTTAGGTTTTTTTTCCTTTTACCAAGCCTCCTGTAAGAGAAGGGCACAGCTCACTTGTTTCAAGTCAAGTATAGCAAGTCTTATATGTTCAATAGCAGGTTTGAAGGTGATACTGCACACTCTGGGAGTATTATAGTGGCAGCTTTGCTGCAAAGTTTAGCTGCAAGAGCTGCAAAGGTGTTCTTTAATGGCTGTTGCCTTGCTTGCTAATATTTACATTCTTGCAAAAAAATAGTACCCTGGACACCTGCAGGGTAATATACTAATTTTAGTGAATTAGCTGGGAAATTCCAGCCTAGAATTCTCAGAGGTGAGGCAGGGTGGTTTTGTCACCAGCTGTCTCTTAGGAGATTGAGTTTTCCTAATGGCATTTTCTGTTGTATTCTTTCAGTCTTTCATTATCAGGTCAAGATTCATTTCTTTGCAAAGACTAACATGACCAAGACAAACCAGCCATTCCTGATCTCTCTCTATGGCACTCTAGACAAGAGTGAGAACATTGCTTTCACACTGTGAGTAGCTACAAAAACAACTGCAAAGTACTGTTTTGCCTAATTTGTTAAAGTCTCAACTGAAAAACTTGTTATGGCTTCAGCTGCACTAATCTTACAGGGTCCCAGAATCTGCTCTTGTCCTTGATCAAGGAGTTGCATTTGCTTTGGAAATTAATGAACCAAATCCTACATTCTTGATAAGACATCTGAAATACGGAAACATGAAGTCTGACCTGCGACACAGCTTAATAAGAGTGTTTCCAGTGCTTTCTTATTTTTTTCTCAATATCTTTATACCATGTTAAATCTTCTTAAAAGTGGACTTATGCATCTGAACGCCTCAGTGCAGAAGCTGAGGGACACTTGGGATTTGCTTTCACAGCTCTGCAAATAAGCAGAAATTTGTGTGTACGTCCCTAGACACAGGCTGGCAGGGAATGGAGTTGTTTCCTGCTCTGACGAATGTAAACTGGTTATGGGTGATGGTGTCTGGGTTTTCTGAGAGCACAGGTGAGGACAGCCCTTGCCTGGCAGACTGTCCCAGGATTTTACCAGCCTTGGTAGAGAAGGATGTTTCCTTTTGCCTCTACAAAAGGTAGAGGTGTTTTTGCTTCCTTCTCTGGAGTACAAAAATTCCACGTTCTGTTTCTCCTCAATTTTCTTTGTCTGTCCAAGAATTTAAGGTAACTTTTTTGTTTGTTTTTTTCTTTTTTTTATTCTCCTCCCCACAGGCCTGAAATCTCCTCAAACAAGACCTTCTCCTTCCTGATTTACACAGAAGTGGATATTGGAGACCTGTTTATGGTGAAGCTGCAGTGGGAAAAAGACACCTTCTTTAGCTGGTCTGATTGGTGGACTCCCTTTACATTTGACATCCAGAGAATCAGAATGAAGTCAGGGGAAACTCAGAAAAAGTAACTTGTTTTGATTTGTTATAAGCTATATTAATTCTGATTGACAGTGCTCCCTGATTTCTGGTATCTCAGATTGGGACAAACATGTTAAGCAGTTACAAGTGGGTACAGTATTAATGATAATCCGGGCTCCAGTGGTATCAAACCACCATTTCTATCAGCCAAGTTCAGCCATTTACTTCCACTGGGATCTGCAGCTTGTAGTCTTCCTCCCATGTAATTAATTTGTATCCCACTGTTGTACCTACTTAAGGTTAGTTATAATATGCCGGAGAGTATCTCCATGAACCAGCATCAGTGATTGTGTTTGTAATTTCTGTCCTCCTTTTTCATGCTGGGTTCTTGCATAGCTTTTGTCACAAAGAGCATGCTTAGATGGAGTTTTTTAGAGATCCTTCCAAAAGCGTGTTTGCACAAGAATTTATTGCTTAGTTAAGTTGGATTTCCTTGGGGGTTGAATACCTGAATGGTGGTTGAAAACTGAAACATGTGACTGTTGCAGGACATTGCTAATGCGTGAATGCTGAAACGTCAAAGCCTGAACAGAAGTGCTTCGACATTAATCTTTTGAAATACTCATATTCACTAAACATGAGATCTGTTTGCAGAACATGGGCCCAGAACAGAGTGTGTCCTATGTATAGTATAGTAAATAATAATTAGTTCCTCCTTTGAATAAACAGGTCAGTCACTTGATCAAAGAACAGTTATGAGAGCTGAACAAATATAGGGGTGGGGAAAGTACTGATAAATAGAAAAGTGAGTGCTCGTGTTTTCTGGAAATTGCAACCTACTTTGTTTGCACATGTGAGGGAGTATGGCTTTCTTCCAAGTTCATTCACCTGACAAAATCTCACGTAAAGACTGGTGTAAATAAAGATCCAAGAGACTTTGGGATAGAACTTCTGCTATCTTAGCCACAAGAAGTATTTTTTTTTGCAAAGGATCAGTGAAAGTTATGGCTATGCTTTGATGCCCATGTATAATTCATTTACCAGTTCTTGCACAGCGTTTCTTTTGTTACAGAATTCTCTTTTAAAAATAACTTTCTCACAGGCCTGCAAAGTAGCAGTGCCCCACGTGACAAAGTATAAAGACTGTTTCCAAGCACCAGTCTTCTTTCTAAGATTAAAAAAGGGATGTTTGGCTCAGTCTTGTGACTTTTCCAATATTTATTCCACAGAGTGGTGTTCTGTTCTCGAGATGGCACCTCACATCTCAGTAAGGGAGAAGAGGCAGCAATATTTGTGAAATGCTCGGAGCAGCCCGTCAGCAGGAAGAGAGGAGGGTACGAGTAATCACTATTGGTTTTAGACTGCTTTATTACCACTAGAGTGGTAATTAAACTTTTTCTTTAATTGACTTTTGCACTAGTCTTCTCAGGGCTTCAAAAGCATCACAGCTCAGACTAACGAGAGGTTTGCTTATGGCCACTTTGGCAGCTTGAAAGCTCTTGGCTTGCTCCTCTGGTAGCCATCCTTGCGTGGCTGTTGGCATGTCTGAGAAGCAAGCTCTGGTCACTGCCTCCCACAGTCACTCGGCCAGGTGTGAGGGACTGTTGTGGAGGGTTACAGACGAGGCACTAGCACACAGAGAAAGCGTGTCTCTGTCTCAGCACTTGCCCTTGGCTGCAGAACATGGGGCTGGTTCAGGAATGGAGCAGGCATGTGTGTGAAGGTGCTCTTCTTAGCACACTGCTTTCTGATGGCAGCCATCAGGTGGGTGAATTCCTGAGAGTTTCATCCTATGGGTCAGAGATTCTGCCTTTGTTTAATAGCCCTTTGGTGCACTTTAATATTTCTATCAATAATTTTCCTGACCCAGATTAGATGTGGAGACAGTCTTTGGACTTTACCCTCTAAAGTTTGAGATAGAGAAGAGGTTATATTTATTTTAGTTCAATTACTGTGTGTGAATGGTCTCATGGGGACGCTTCTGGACTGAGATCTAGCTCTGCATAAAAATGCACATGTGCTGGCCATTAGGCTGGGGCAATGACCTGCATAGGCCTTGAGAGCTCTGTGTGTATCTGACATAAAATCAAGCAGAAGCCAGGAGAAGCCTAAGCATGTTATTTATCTTCCTGTTAAGTAGGGGGTTTTAAAACCTTAATTCTCAAAAATAAGACAAGAGGGAACAAGTATCTTCCTCATCACCTTTATATTTTATTTTTTTTCTCCACAGTACCAAGAGAGCCTCAAAAGAAAATTCTGCTCATGAATCTGCTTAAGTGACAAGAACAAGAATTTTTCACACTGGGGAGGAGAAGAGTCTGTTCATCCCTGTAGACTGGATGTTCAGAACCAAATATATAGAAATATTTATCTGCTGCTGGATTTTTGCCTGCTATTCCTAGCTATTTTAGAGACTTCTTGTAAAAAAAGTCTCAGCATATGAAGTTACTAACCATAAAGATACATTATCTAAATAGTTAAAAACAAAAGAAACCTGCAAAACTACTTGCCAAAGTTTGAAGTGCTGAAGAGATATAGGTAATTTTGCTTAATCATGGTGCCTTGTGATAAGGTTTCTTGACATCAGATCCTATATAGCAATTTTTTAATATTTATTGACAAGAAACAAAGCCCTGTACTTGGTTTTATTTTATCTTGCTGTTTTTATTTTGTTTGTTTTTGGGGTTTATTTTTTGTTTTTTTGATTAGTGGGGTTTTTTTGTTCTTTTCATGAGTCATTTGAAACAATTTTTTTTGTATCTTGGCAAATTGAATTTTCAGGCAGTTCAGTGGAGAGAGTTCATTGTTTTTCAAGTGTGTGTTTAGCAAATAAGTAGGTTTCACATGTGAAAAAAATCACCTTTTGCTGTGTGTAATACTAGAAGATGTCAGGGACTGACTTAATATGGGGATGAATTTTTTAGTTTGTGGTTATGAATGTATTTAATTGGGGGTAGATGCCAGTGCTGCTTAGCAATAGGTATGATCTGTTATAGCTGTATACTTCTATGCCACTTACCCTGGAATAAATAACAGCTCTAGAAGAAGGCAGCAATGCCAGTGTCTTATCTAGACATTTAATATTTTATCTATGCTTTCAGTTATTGCAAATGAAACTGTCTAGCCTTCAACACTGTGAAAATGGAACTGCAGAGGAACTGAGCTACCAGAAAATGCAGGAAACAGATATTTCCCCCCACCCTCCACCCTCTCCCTGCTTGCTTGCGTCACGTTTGCCGAAGCTGTCACAGTTTCTCTGCTCTTTGGCACCAAGTGTCAGTCATGCAGCTGCGTGGCTGCTGTGTGCAGTTTTCAGTGCAAGTGAATCCCCTTGACAGCTGACAAGGATGCTCATACTTCCCTGCACTGGAATTGTGACCGCCAGTGATCCACCTCAGTTTGTTTCTTGGCTGTGGCACAGTGCTAGGAGCTGCACAGTTTTCTGCCATGAGATGGAATTCAGCAGGAAGCAGGAGCTGAGCCAATTAAAAGCAGCCTGGTTGTGCTCCACAAGAAGGAGTGCTCTGAAAAACTCTCAAATTAGCTGTGCTGCAAGTTTAAAAAAAATAGGTATATTGGAGGCAGTCTGCTTCCTCATTTTTAAGTAATATTTAGTTTTTCTAGCATGCTGAAAGGTGCAGTAGCCCTCTTTTGACTTTCTAAAGAGTAAACAAAATGCTGGGGAGGCACAAGGGCTTTAAGGTAGACATTTGGAGAAGTGTAATGTTAGCTGTTGATGCTGGGTGTTGTAGTCTTTTCCTGCATGTGCAAGACAGCATGGAGATGGTGACTTCTTCAATATCATCCCATCTTAAAAGCAAAGAAAAAATATGTATGTGTTTATGTCCACAATTTGTTTCTTATTTCCAACTGTAGCTGCTAGCATATTTGGGGATAAAAGTCTTAAACAGTGCAATATGTTGGAATATTAATAGCTCTGAATTTGCTCACATTTGATTTCACATTTGATTAAACTACAGCAGAGATGTGATGAGTCACTGAGGGTGGGGTTGAGTATTGAGCCACTGCATTTGAGACCTCTAAAAATAAACACAGTGATTTATTCCCTATATATTCCACATTTTGTTGCAATTTTCTCTTGAAAGTCAAATTCTTCAGAAGCAAAATATCTGGACAGCTCTTAATACAGGATCAAATACAAACACATTTAAAATTTGGATACAAAATAGTGAAGGTTCTTTTCATAAGGAAACATGATTTAGCTTTGAATGTTATTTATTAGCTGTAAATAAGATATTTATGAGTGTAAAGGTAGTTTGTATATATTGCTAAAGTTGCTGACAGTCTCTACATTAATAGAGTTGTGTAGTATTAATCCTGTATATAGCTTTCAGAGATTTTTATCAACAAGCCACTTACATTGCACTGTTTCCAATGTCGTTAATACTTTTTTTTTGAAATCTCCTCAGTTTTGTATAGAACAGAAACCTATGGTTTTAATAAAATTCTCAAACTGAATCTGAAGTCACTACTTTCCTTTTGATGAAACCATCTGCTGTATACCTTTTATGTGAAGGCCAGAGCCTATCCTTGAATTCTGGGCTGAAAAGATGGAATGAGACACTGGAAAAAAAAAAGGAATGTGTGATTTCTGCACCGCTCTCCCCCACATAATTTTGGGAAATGCAAAAGTCATGTATTAAGACCCCAAGGAATCACTGTGTGGAACAAAGTATCCCGCATCATAAAAGAAGTAGCTTTTCACCTGCAGTTTGTGGTTTTCGAGTTTCAGGCCCTTTTAAGAACAGTTCAAGAACTGTCCTTACTTTGAAGGGCTTGTTTCCTTTTTTTTCTTTCTTTTTTTTTTTTTTTTTTCTGGCAGGTGTCAGAACTATGCTTCTGCTTCACATTTTACCAAAACGGAGATGTTCTGACCCTGTGGGTGCAGGACGAAAGCACCAGACTCTTGCCACCACCATTGCTTAAGGAAGTAACTGAAAAATCACTTCCAGCCATCTGTTATGAGTGCAGCTGAGCTCAAGAGTGGTTGTCACCAGAACACTTTGCTCTGTCATATACAGCAAGGCTCCACCCAGGCAATGGAGAGGGGTTGCTGGAATGAAGGAGAATTGTATTGACATGCACCTGGGGGATCACATTAGGGGTAACCTGGGGAACTCTGCTTCCAACAGTCTTCTTTGGAGAAAGATGACTGCGCTTTGGCAAGAGCAAAGCTTCATTCCTTGAGAAAGCAGAGGGAAGCTATGCTGTGGAAAATGGATGGTTGGAGAGCCTGAATGGAGGGAGGGATGAAAGAAGAGCTGGAGAGGGAAGGGAAGGGAATCCTTCCAGTGGAAGAGGGAAGAACTGGATCTGCAGACTGGAATGCTTTGAAACTGGGTGTTCTAGGGACACTGCTCATCCCCTATGTCAGTGTCCGGGTTAGGGAACTAGAAGGACTCCTACAGTTGTACAAGACAGGGCTTGGGGTCACATCTCCTAAAAACACCATGGTATAACTATTCTTTTAACATCACAGCAGCCTCAATATACTAATTGTGTTCTTAGGTAAAGCAGAGAAATAGTTTGTGGTGGAGGGGCAAGAATCCAGGTGTTTCCTGTGAGTATTTACAGCCATCTTTAGAGCCACCCCTGGGCCCCTTTACTCTTGCATGTTGCTCTGCAATGCGTAGCCACATCAGAAAAGGTGATGATCCCTGCTCACCCTGCCAACAGTCTCTGGAATGGGCTGCAGGGATAGGCTGTCCAGCAGTCAACCAGACAGACAGAAAGAGACATTCTTGGCTGGAAGGAAAGAGTGAAGAAAAAGGTTTTTAGCCAGTGTATCTGCAAGATGAGGAAATAATGACTCAGGTTTTTAATGCCTAGATTTTCATTTTCATATTTAACTCTCAGAAATTTTTGGAACCAGCAGTGACTTTGCTCTCCATAAGTGTCTCCATGCTTTCTCCATTTAGATATAGTTGTGTGCCTGCTCTTTTGTGTGTTAAGAACAAAATGTCAAAGCTTGCTGCTTGGGATGAGCAAGACATTGTGCATGTGCTGTTTCTAAAGGTCAAAAACAGATATTGAAAAAAAAGTTTATGTTAGAGGGAAGAATGAAACCAGCTGTAGTATTTTCCTTTTTATTTACAGCTGTCAGTGCAAAGTTCTCCATATTCTGACTGTCAGTGCAAACAGAGCTGTATTAAAATCCTCAGGGAAGATATTTCCATCTCCTACTGCTGCATCTTTCCAGAGAAGTCATCTAGTCAAATGTCTTTTGTGGCAGGTCTGGAAAGTCACCAGTTTATGCATAAGTGAATAAAGGGATTACCATTCTGCAGCGGCTAAAGAAGAAGAAGGAAATGAGAAGAGGAAGGGAAGGGAACCATTTGGCAGAACATCCCATATAAAGCTTGTCTTAACAATGCTTTTATATCCGTGTGTGGTGCTATCTCTGCTCAGCAACACTCAGAATGCTTTCCTAAAACAGCTCAAGTTAACTCAGATAGAACAATGCATCCACATCAGAAATGCAGATGCCAAATGGGGACCACCTTGGATATAGCAGGTGTTAGTGTGGTGGCGCAGTGCATTTTCAATTACATCATCTCCCAGCCATTCATGTCAGATAAACACCATGTTCTTAATTGCAGGCCCTTCCTGTGGGAAGTGACCCAATATCATCAGTCCCACTTTTTGCCAATGACACTGGAGAGGATTTGCTGCTGTGCATCACCCCACCATGTAGAACCATTCAGTGAGAAGTAAGACAGCCTGCCTGGCCATGGGTCACTGTCCTCAAAAGAACCAGGAAGTGAGAGCATATCTCATACTGTTCCATCTACCAAAGGATTTTTTTACCCACAATTAGCTGTGAGCCTGGAATGTTCTAAATAGTGAAAGGACACAAAATGTGGAAATTAGAAGCAGTAGGAACAGATTCCTATGCCAGAACAGGTTGAAAAGATGCTAAGAATATTCACACCTTTTCAAAAGAAACTTTGAAAAAAAAATACTTCAGAAGTTTTGCTTGCTAGGTCCTCAGGCTTTGGTCAGCCCTTGCTTTTTTTCCTCTGACAGGCTTAATTCAGGAGCTTTTGAGGCTTGCTCCCAGGGCCTGAGTAATTGCTGCTGTGCAAAACTACCTTTGGAGTCACTTCTAATCTTTTGGATTAGAAACCTCTCCATGCATAACTTTGTATGTAAGGAGAGGGCTACCAGTCCTGTGCTTCTGGTGAAAGGGTCAAACCTGCCTTCAGTGAGAGACACAATCAAAACTCCACTGAGGCTGGGAAAAATCTTTTTGTTGACATTTTGGAAAATTTTGAATGTTTTCCTAACACCTAGCACAAGATCCCAGATTTAAAATGAAAGCACAGCTACAACTTTCTTGTTTTTTATACTGTTACGCAGTGTTTTCAGACTGAGTGCATATGAATGTCAGGTCATGATCCACTCAGGTACTCAGTTAAATATTGGCTCTGGATGTCTTCTCACAGATATTGCCAGCATCTCTTGGCAGTAATAATATTTGTTATTTATGGGAGACCAGAACAAACCGCATGAGTGCAGTGATGTAATTAGCACCCAATAAAAATTAAAACAAATCAACTAACAGAAAAAAAACAACTTGAGAGAAAGGCATGCACAACACACAGCACCTCATTTATCACCTATGGAGGTATGAGACCAACACAATCCTGAGCAAACTCCAGTGTTTCCCTTGCAGGCGAGCATGGGCAGTGGGAACATCTCGGGAATGCTCTCACACAGCTCCAGCTCACTGCTCTGTGTGGTGCAGTAACCACATGTCTCAGGTGGTTTGGTCCTCCCAGATCCTTGCTGAGCCTTGCTCTGAATCCAGGCATGGTTACACTGATGCTTAGATTCCTCACTGCTGCCAAGCTGCACAAAAAGAAACAGCGTAGCTGGAGTGGTTGGCTCCTGGATCTGAATCAATAGGCTGATCAGCTTGACAGCCTTGATCAGCCAGGAGGCTTGACAAAAATCTAAATGTTGGAGAATTTTATTACGTGTCAGCATCAGTTTCGAGTGAAATCAGACCAAAATCAAAACAAGCAGCGAAAAGCAAGAGCAGGAATGTCTAAGAAAAAGCAAGAAGGAAGGAGGGGTCTTTGATGTTGCAGCAGGTTGTACAGTACTGCACTTTAATATGGTGAAAACAGCCATACCCAGACTTGTACAGCAGAACTGTTAAGCATTCCTTTGATTTTAAATACACATTTATTTATACACGTATATTTTCTCGACATCAGGAACATAGAAGTGTGTACCAGAGACTAAGCATACACTTAAGCGCTTTACACAGTGTTGGTATCCATTGAAAATACCAATCCTAAAGAAAAATGTGTACAGACCCATTATAGAAAGATCACCAAGATTAAAGAACAAAAAGCAAGATATAAATAAAGGTTAAAAAGAAGAAGCACATATTCAGAAAGAGGAATAAATTAAGAGGAAGAGGAAAAGCAAGGAAGAAGAACTCTGCTTTAGCAAATTATTCCACCCAGGACACCCACCCACATATTCTTGAATGTAATTGAGCTATTATTTATATGCTCATATGACTAATTTTCCCCCTTTCTAATGTATTTATAACCCAGACACAAAATTAAGCCAAATTTTTTGTTTATCTTGGAAAAAAATTTGCCCTTTGCTAGTGAAGTTTTCCAGTACAAGGGTAAAAAGAAGATCTTAATCTCTCTGATTTTATTTCCCAGGCCTTAGAAAGGAAATTCAGGTCAGACTCAATGCAGTAGAAAGACTCCTTCTAGTATCAGTCTTCTTTTAATGTCCTGAGCACAGAGCAGTTACGGAGTAAGCAAATGCCTACACAATGGCTGGTTCAAAATACAAAAAATGCTTTCATTCTTCCCTCCTTTTTTTATTTATAGAGCTAGGTGTGCCTTTTGGTAGTTCTTTGTTTTTCTTTTAACATCACTGAATTTAAGGACCCTGGGGAGAAATCAGGGAAATGCTGGGGAACATTCTTTTGACCATAATTTTACTTGCATACTTTGTGTAAAACTAAAAAAAGTTGCATTTTCGTGGCTGGATATTTTTTCATGAAAGGCTGAAGCACTCAGTCATGCTCAAAATTGGGTATCATGTCCCTCTTTCACCCCTGAATTTGAGAACATAATTTTGAATTTGCATGGGAGGCATCAGCGAGGGAAATAGGGCAGAACTTCTATATTAGGTTTATTTGGGTCTTCTTGTCAGTGTTATAACAACCCTCTGTGAGACATTTTAGTTATTCAGTGGTGCCTTCTCTGACTGACTAGTCCCTGACCACCATTCTGTTTTTAGTAATTTTTTGACAGGATCCCTATGAAGGCACCCCTTTTCCTGTCAAGGTAATAATTCTATTGCCTTCAAGGATTCCTTGGGCATCTTAGGGGTAGGGATAAGTGCAGTTACATGGGAGCATTTTCTTCCAGACAAAGTGTAGCTAAGTTGGCAAAGAGCTCTGACAAGTATCTTTTACATAACCAGGGAGGAAAACTTGTATTTTCTTACCAAGCTTGGACCAGATGCTTGGACATCTTTGTGTAGGTATGACTAAGTCTCTATGACCTTCTCTCCAAACTTATCCTAGCTTGCTGCTGAATCCTGTTTTCCATTTCTCCTTTCATTTCTCTTTTGGCAAAGTTTGCAGAACTCGGCATCCTTCCTCCTACCAACACCCCTGTACTCCCTGTCCCATGACTGCAGAGTACTCGGGTGAATCTGTGCTGCTCCGCAAGGCTGCCCTGCCTCCACCCGGATAGCGACCAGCCTGCATCAGCTGCTTCTCTAAGGATCCTACAACTTTTTTTTTTTTTTTGCCTATTCTATTGGATTTCATTTAACCCCACCATGCGGTCTAATAGCCCCCACAGATGGGGAGAAAAAGGTACTGTATCAAGATAACAAAACTGCTCCATAAGTTGATCAGCATACATGGACCTAGCTGTGCAATTGTCCTCTCAACTGCAGTGCATGTCCATTTAAAGAAATAGTAGAAATCTCCTGTTTGGACTTTCCTCTGTGCCACAATAACATCTTGAGGATTTGGATCTGTATCCTGTAAAAATAATAATCTTTATTCCACATCCTGTTTTCTATAGTATTCATTGCTGATGTACACACAGTGCTGTTAAGCACTGACACAATTCTCTCTACAAAATTTTGCTGGGAGGATTCAATTTTAAATGCTTGCCTACTGCTAGTCAGAAAAAAAACCCCCAAAATATATATCTTACATAGATGTATTTCAATTCTGTATTTTATTTTTCTAGAGATGGGACAAAGAACATTAAATCCTTGAAGAATAACACTTTTTTCATTCAATTAAGTAGCATACTCTGTATTGGATGGCAGGAAGGACAGTCCACAGAATAAACATTGTATTGAATTCAAGTTTCCTACCATTTCACCAGACTAGACTTTCTTACATTACATAAATTAATGGTGAGTGGAAATAAACTTAACTGTTTGTGGAAGAAATGCTTGAAGATATGGAATGGGAATTTGATTAATAAATCCACAGAACTATATTAAAACCTGTTTGGCTGTAGGAGAAGAGGATTAGCTGTGAGCTCCCTACAGGTCAAGCTCGGAGAGTGATGCATTTGAGCTGAGTACAACTCCAACAATACTCTTCTTGAACACTTTCTTTTATATGATGCAAGTCCTTTTGAGACTTTCTATGCATTTTAACTTTGAAAGAATCAATAAAAGCAAGCAGCGAGGGGCCATCACATGAAAGCAGAGAGAGTTAAGATCCCTTACTCCAATCTCTTGGTTAATATATGTCACTGAATCAAGGATTGTTAGGGTTGGAAAGGACCTCTGGAGATTATTGAGTCCAAGCCCCCGGCCAAGGCACCACTGAAAGAAGTCTAGCCCCATGCTCTGGGCACCCACCTTGGAGATATTTACATGTACTGCTGAGATCCCCTCTCTGTCTTCTCTGGACTTAACAGGCCCAGCTCTTTCAGTCTCTCCTGATAAGAGAGATGCTCCAGGCCCCAAATCATCTTGGCAGCTCTCCACAGGACCCTCTCCAGTAGCTCCTTGTCTTTCTTGCACTGAGGAGCCCAGAACTGGGCACAGCACTCCAGATGTGCCTCACTGCAGTGGAGTAGAGGGGCACAATCACCTCCCCTGACCTGCTGGCCACACTGTGCCTGATGTCCCCAGGATCCCACTGGCTCTCCTGGCTGCAAGGGCACTGCTGGCTCATGGACAACTTGTTGTCCACCAGGACCCCCAGCTCCTTCTGCACAGAGCTGCCCTCCAGCAGGTCACCCCAGCCTGTGCTGGTGCCTGGGGCTGTTCCTCCCCAGTGCAGGACTCTACACTTGCCCCTGTTGAGCCCCATTAGGTTTCTCTCTGCCCAGCTCCCCAGCCCATGAAGGTCCCTCTGAGTGGCAGCAAAGCCTTCAGGTGTGCCAGCCGCTCCCCCCAGTTCAGGATCATCTGCAAACTGGCTTAGGGTTCATTCTATCCCTTCATCCAAGTTGTTGATAAACAAGCTGAGCAAGGATGAACTAAATTTCTTTTACATGCTTGGTGATGACCTCCAGAATGATCTGTTCCATCACCTTTCCAGGGAGAGAGGTGAGGCTGACTGACTGGTATCTTCCTAGGTCCTTCTTCTTGCCCTTTTGAAGATGGGAGTAACACTGGCTTTCCTCCAGTTATTAGGCATCTTTCCCAATCCATGATTTTTCAAAGATAATGGAGACTGGTTTAGCAATATCTGCTAGCTCCCACAGCAGACATGGGTGCATCCCATCAGGTCTGCAGATTTATGGGTGTTTAATCTGCCTAGTTGATCTCTAACCCAACCCTCTACAAACAAGTCTTCCATTCTCCAACCTTTTCCTCTTACCTCTGAGGTCTGGGATTCCTGAGGGTTGTTCTCAGCAGTAAACACTGAAGCAAAGAAGGCATTCAATAATTCAGCCTTCTCTGTGTCTTCCAACACCTGGACACCCATATGATCCAGCAGCAGCACCCACATTTTCTCTATCCTTCCTTTTGCAGTTGATATACTTAAGAAACCCTTCCTGTTGTCCTTGATATTCCTTGCCTGACTCAATTCCAAGCAGGCCTTGGCCTTCCTTGTCACATCCCTGTGTACTCTGAAGATGTACCTACAGTCCTTCCACATGGCCTGTCCCTTTCTCCACATCCTATAAATTTCTTTCTTCCATTTGAAATTTGCTGGGAGCTCCCTGCTCATCCATGCAGGTCTCCTGCCTCCTTTGCTTGATTTCTTGCTCATGGGGATTCACCATGAGCTTGGAGGAAGTGTTGCTTGAACATCGCCCAGTTCTCTTGGCCCCATTCTCCTCTAGATCTGTAGCTGATGTGATCCCTCCAAACAGGTTCTTGAAGAGGCCAAAGTTAAGCTCTCCAGAAATTTAGTCCTGATTGCTGCTTTGCTTCTTCCATGCAGGATCCTAAATTCCACCATGTCACTGAAGCCAAGGCTGTACCCAACCTCCACATCTTCAGCCAGTCAAAAGCAAGTGATCTTGACATGTGGGAGCACCTAAATCACGGATATAGCACTCAACACAGGGATTTCAGGGGCTGCTTTGGGGAAAATATTGTACAGCCTCAAGGAAAGGTGACTGCAAACTGACAGTAGCTATCTCAGAAAACATTTAGTGGATGCAAAACTTAGAAGGGAACAGCTTGGATCCAGAACCAAGTGTAACCACATATTT